ACCCTGTTATCAGGCAACAGTTAGTGCGAGACCACTAATGATCACTCAATCATTGCTCCGTGCCAGGCCCCTCCCCCAAGTGAGCAGCTCTCAATGTTGTTGTTTAGTCGCTTAGTCATGTCTGACTCTTCGCAACCGCATGAACTGGAGCCCGCCAGGTTCCTCTGTCCATGGGATTTCCCAGGCAAGAAAACTGGAGTGAGCTGCCATTTCCTTCTCCAGGGGATCTTCCCAACCCAGGGATCAAACCCACATCTCCTGCATTGCAGGCAGATTCTTTGCCACTGAACCACCTGGGAAGCCCAATTGTCAGTGAGCGACCATTAATAGTCCCTCTCAGCCATTGGTTGGAACTGCAGTAGGGCCCTCCCCAAAGGGAGCTGCTGTCAGTGAGCAGCCATTAGTGGCTCACTTAGCCAACGGTTGATGGACTGGTGGTCATCAGGCGGAGAGTGAGGTAAAAGGTGGGGATTGAGGTAAGAGATGGAGCCTTGGATCAGCAGGTGAACTGAGGGGCTCAGGGAACAGGCTGGGGGCTGTGTCCTGCAAAACTCCAGAGCCCTGGCCAAGGCCGCCCACTGGCCTTGGTCCAAGCCTTGGGGCAGCACTGAACCTCTCCCTCATCCTTGCCTCTGTGACCTAATGGCGGTAGCAGTCTGCGTATGAAGTCAGTGGGACTTGGCCCTGGCTCTTTGGGCAGCCTGAGGAGCCTGAGGGCCAGATGCGTTCTGGGCGCCTGGCTCCCTCAGTGATGACAGCTGGCACAGTCTGGGGACCTGGCCCTGAGGGAGCCTCCAGCTGAGATCTGCCTCCTCTTAGCCAGGATCTGGACCTCAGAAGGTGAAAGTTGTGCCTGCGGTCCCCTCCCTTTCTTGTCAGAACAGAGAATTTGTTTGGTGGAGGTTTGCAGGGACGCTGTTACATGACCATGACCTGATCTCAAGAGCAAAGGATCTGACATCAAGAAGTGTGTAACAACTCACCATGCCCCTCCCTCACCTTTCCTAGAAAAGGGCTTTGCTGAAAGCTTTCAGGGAGTTTGGGGTTTTTAAGGCACAAGTCACCATCTTCTTGCATGGCCCTCAGTAAACCCTTGTCTGCTCCAAACCCTGATGTTTTGGTAATGATTAGCTTTACTGTGTGTTGGGCACGTGAACTGGTATTTCGGTAATGAGGGCACTGTAGCTGCTCTTGGGTTAAGGAAGGCACTGGAGTCAGTCAAATGAAACCAATAGTTATCAGTCATTTTTCAACAGGCATTTCTTGAGAATTGCTGCATTACATGTCACTGGAAATATAAAGATAAATAGTACCTAGTCTCCTTCTCCTGGAAAAATTCAGTGTGAGGCTAATCAAACAGACCAGTTGAATGTAACTGTCGCCAAAGTAGCATGGAATTTTGCAAGACAAAGCATACCATAAATCATCTGTATATGATACTGTTCATGTGTTTTAACAATTGTAGGTAACTTCTCTATAGAACCTATCTCAAATTGTTATTCAGTCATTCAGTTGTGTCCGACTCTTTGAAACCCCATGGACTGCAGCACGCCAGGCTTCCCTGTCCTTCACTCTCTCCTGAAGTTTGCTCAGACCCATGTCCATTGACTTGATGATGCTGTCCGACAATCTCATCCTCTGTCACCTCCTTCTCCTGCCCTCAATTTTCTCAACATCAGGTTGTTTTCCAGTGAGCCAGATCTTTGCATCAGGTGGCCAAAGTATTGGAGCTTCAGCATCAGTCCTTCCAATAAGTATTCAGGGTTGATTCCCTTTAGGATTGACTGTTTTGATCTCCTTGCTGTCCAAGGGACTCTCAAGAATTTTCTTCAGCACCACAGTTCGAAAGCATCAGTTCTTTGGTGCTCAGCCTTCTTTATGGTCCAGCCCTCACATCCAAAAAAACAATTGAGTATCTCTTTCAAGTTTGAATAGGAAGTCATTTTAAACAGCAGGGGTTATTTAGGTTAAATAAAAGGAAAATCCATTAGTAATTAAGTTGCTGAATACTGGAATCTTAAAAAAAAAAAATTGCCAGCAGTTTTTCAGAAAATAAGCATAATACTTTGAAGGTTTCCATGAATTCTTGGCTCTCAACATGAACTGACCCACTCACCTAGCAGTAGGATTCAATAAAAGATTGTATATAGTTTCCCTGACCTTTTTATGTGAAAGCATTGGAATAATTTACTTTGAAAGGAAAGCTAGTAGTGCCTTTCCAGGATACCTGCTATGTAAAATTTTCTTCCACACAACTAAACTTGAAGTGAAGCCATTTGGCTCCTCCATGCCCATCTCTGGCATTTACAGGCAGAGTAACTCATATTCTGAACTATAGTGACTCACTGTGGTTACCTGGTTCACTGCTCAGGGTGCCTCCATGATCCCTTGTCGTTGTTGTTCAGTTACTCAGTCATGTCCCACTCTTTGCAAACCCATGGACTGCAGCACGCCAGGCTTCCCTGTCCTTCACCATCTCCTGGATTTTGCTCAAACTCATGTCCATTGAGTCAGTGATGCCATCCAACCATCTCATCCTCTGTTGTCCCCTTCTCCTGCTTCAAATCTTTTCCAGCACTAGAGTCTTTTACAATAAGCTGACTCTTCATGTCAGGTGGCCAAAATATTGGAGCTTCAGCATCAGTCCTTCCAATGACTGATTTCCTTTAGGATTGACTGGTTTGATCTCCTTATAGTCCAAGGGACTCTCAGGAGTCTTCTCCAGCACCACAGTTTGAAGGGATCAATTCTTTGGTGCTCAGCCTTTTTTATTGTCCAGCTCTCACATCCATACATGACTACTGGAAAAACCATAGCTTTGACTATATGGACCTTTGTAGGCAAAGTAAAGTCTCTGCCTTTTAATACACTGTCTAGGTTTGTCATTTCTTTCCTTCCAAGGAGTAAGCATCTTTTAATTTCATGGTTGCAGTCACCATCCACAGTGATTTTGGAGCCCAAGAAAATACCTGCCTCTCAGGCTAAAGCAATAATACTGACTTAGCCGAAAAGTTTGTTGAGGTTTTTCTGTTATCAGGATGTGTAGACCTATAGATCTCTGTGTGTAGACCTTCTGTGGGGTGCCTTGGAGAATATGGAACTAAGTTATAAGATTGTCCACCAAGAGCTTAAAAGGCAATCACAGATATGCAAAATCACTGCACTGCAAGAATGAAGAAGAAAGGAAATTTAAAATATTGATATTTTAAAGTAAAGTAAGAATATGTCTACAAAAGGTAAACATTTAACAACTGCAGTTCAGTGGATTTAAAAAAACTACAAATGTCTAATTAAAATTTGATTAAAAACCTTTAAACAGAATAAAAATGAGATGCTATTTTAAGCTTATATTTAATTGATAATATTCAATGTTAGCAAGGATTAAAGAGTTGATCAGAGTTATATTTTCTGGTGGAAGTATACAGTGCTTTGTAGAAAGCAATTTGGCCACAGAAAGGGAGAATCCTTAAGTAGTCCTATCTTCTAAGGAAGAATATTGCAATTCTCATATGCTTTGTATGTTATATTAAAAGAAACTTTCCTATATCATCTAGGTTTAGGTTCAGCTACATATACTAGAAATCCCCAAATAACAATGGCAAACAGTATAAATGTGATCTGCAAGGGAGACTACAAAACGTTCTTTAGCTAGGCATTACTACCCAAAATAAAACTGAAATTCAGTCATTAAGGAGGAAAGGGAGAATGAGTGTTGGTAGATAAGTATCAATTTTTGCTCCATTATCCTAGAGAACAAACTTGAATTTAAAAATAATTTTCAAAAAGGCATTAATTTTAAGGGAAAATCCCAGATTTCTAAGATGAGGAAAATACTTTCAAGTTACAAATTGATTCAGATTCCATAGAACAAGGAATGTTATCTACAAAGCTTTGAATTGATGGTTGATGTTTAATCGCTAAATCGTGTCCGACTCTTTGTGACCTCATGGGCTGCTACACACCAGGCTTCCCTGTACTTTACCGTTTCCCAGAGTTTGCTCAAACTCATGTCCATTGAGTGGGTGATGCCATCCAACCGTCTCATCCTCTGTCACCTCCTTCTCCTCTGGCCCTCAGTCTTTCCTAGCATCAGGGTCTTAAATGGTTGAACATGCTTTATTAATAATTTACTTTAAAAAGCAAAAGGTGTTATTATATAAAGTTTATACAGTCAAGTATGCAAAACACACTCTTAAAAGTGTTTTTTATACTTAATTCATTGTCCATATTTTCCATAATCAACATATTAAAATAAATGCTAAGGTAATTGTAGACATTATTTTTAAATACATTGTAATTGAAGACAAATTCCCAGATTTGAGAAGCCAGAACTCAAATTGGGAGAGTCCTCATGTTGTTCCAGACAAAATTAATATAAGGGACTAAGACAAAGACCAATAAAATTTTCAAATTTAAAAAGAAAAAAAAACCCTATTAACAGTAAGTTGGGAAAAGCAGGTCACCTTCCAATGAACCAAACTCAAGTTGGCTACAGATTTTGTCCTCTACAAAATAAAATGCCAAAAAGTTACGGAGTTTCCACATTATTATCTAGTCATCATCATCAGAAAATATGCCTCTCTTCTGTATATTTCAATAATTTCTCAAAGTCTTCCTTCAAATTACCAAGATACTAATCACAATGAATTCAATAAGAGAAAATTATAGAAGAAACAGACTGGCAATAATCACCAAATCATCTAAAATCTTAAGACTGAGGGTTTGAAAACAATAACTTCTAATGGGATAGGATGAATGCTGAGAAGTCTAAATGATAGGTTTACGTTGGGTTCAAAAACACTAAAAACAAAACAAATTTTGATAACACACATTCAGAAAAAAGTTGGACCATGTGGCCACAAGTGAAGTGAGGCTGTCAGGGGTGGCAGCCTGGGTGGGAGGAATTGGATGGCAGTTCCTGGGGGTGTCCTCTCTAGCTCTGGCCTTTTCTTCCGGGGCTACACCCTACTTCTCAGTCCCATTTTATTTTTGTCTTTCAGCTGAAACTAAGATCTGCTTCAAATACTACCATGGAGTGAGTGGAGCCTTGCGAGCCACCACCCCCAGTGTCACTGTCAAAAACTCAGCAGCTCCTGTAAGTCCTCTGTCCTCCTCGTTTGTCCTCGTAGAACTAACTCTGGTGCTTCTTTACTTTGCTATTCTGTTCTTATGTTTTAATGTGTGTGTGCTGAGGGTGGGGAATCTCCACACAAATATGGAGATATATTGATAGATTATGAATGGGTAGAGAAGACACATCTCAAAATCACGCAGCAAAATGAGATCCCAAGTAAACTTACTTATCAGAATGCATACATCCTGCTTTTTGTTAGAGAAATATCAGGCTTCATTAGATAACCAGATGTTTCTAACAGATTCACACATAATTGGGCTTCCCAGATGGCATTAGTGATAAAGAACCCACCTGCCAACAGAGGAGACATAAGTGGTGCAAGTTCAATCCCTGGGTCAGGAAGATCCCCTTGAGGAGGATATGGCAACCCGCTCCAGTACTCTTGCCTGGAGAATCCCATGGACAGAGAAGCCTGGCAGACTACAGTTTGTAGGGTCACAAAGAGTCGGACACACCTAAAGTGACTTAACATGCATGTGTAATTGCAGTGAATAAAAGTATCTCTTAGGAATACATTTAAAAAATTCCTTGATATTAAATATTTAAATTACTGTTTGTTTACATTTTTTATGCTTAAGATAAATTTCTGGGATAGAATTTAAAGTTTAGACTGATTTTAGTCATAGAATTATAAAATGATTGGCCTAGAAAAGACTGGAATCTCTTGTCCTTTTCTTCTTTTCTTTATATAAATGAGAAAAGTATAATTTTCCTGAGGAATTTAAGTAATATACCTAGGGTCACACACTTAGCGAGCTGCAGATTGGAGATTTAAATCACACTGTCTGTTCCTACTTGGTGGTTCTGTTGAGTACTATGGTGATAAATGCTCTCTTTTCCTAAATTACAGTCTGGTTTTATCTTTGTTGATGCTTCTTACCTTTGTTCTCAGTTCATCAGATGAGATTAACTGAAATCTTACAAATGGCGTTCCCTTTCCTTTCATGTAAATTAAAAATGACTGACTGGGGAAAGTTGAACAGAAACCTCTGAGGACTTTGTAAGTAGTTTATCACTTTTACTTACTGGTGTAAGTAAAAAAAGATTTGAGGTTTTTTTTTCCCTATGTAAAAAGAGAGAGAGAAATTGAATGAGAAATGAAATAAGAATGATTTAGAAAGAACTTCAGCTCTAAAATACACCATTTGCTGTTTCACAAATCATTTCTTCCATGTGCTAAGGACGATTGCATTGAGTCCTCAGTGGGAGCAGTAAGACAAACAGGCTTGAGAACCAGGAGCCCGTCTGCCTCCATCCTGACAGGTGTAGCAGAACTGGACTTGGGCTGGGGCAGGAGGAGGCTGGGGGTGGACAGGGCTTTCCAGGGCTGCCCATGAGGGGACACACAGTAGGCGGGGCAGGGACAAGAGAAGGAGGGACCAGCTACACTGTTCACTGGCTCCACCACTTCTCCCTACACTCACCCTGTATACTTATATGTGATGTCTGTCACTTTATGGGGTGGGTCACAACTCTTAAGTGTGATAATCTGAGGACATACCCCCAGAGTGGTGAGCCCGACTTCCAGGCCCATTTGTAAGGACCATCCCCCAAAGAGGGGAGCCGATTGTCCAGGCAGGAGGGGCAACAGAATAGAAGCAGTGAAACTGGAGCTGAATATCGAGGTGGACAAAGCAAGAAGGCTTTGAACACACAACAGAGAAGGAAGAGGCTGAAGGCAGAGGCTAGTTGATTCAGCCTCCAGACAGGCTTGGCCGGTTTTCGCCACAGCACAGCGAGTCAAGTGATGGGGCAGCTTCTCCCAGGCCCCTGAATTCCTCAGCCAAGATGGGCCTTGCCCAAGGATGGGACTGGCCTGCTGGCTCAAGGCTGGAATGGGAGAGGAGAACTCCTCACCTTCTGCTCAGGTGGGCTGCTATGGGTGTGTCCAGCCCTGGAATTCTAGTGATTCTTATCTTCGGGGAAGTCTTTTTTGGAGGAAGCTCTCTGGGGCATTTGGCTTCTCTGAACTCAGCCTACTGGGGACTCCAGCTTTAACCTGCTCCTCAGACTAATGCATAATGTGGTAGACATCATCAGAGAGGTATACAACCTAAGCCTAAAAAAATACAAGGTGCAAGGTACCCAGAAAACTGCCTAAGGTTACACTGAGGAAAGCCCTCTTTGAGATGAGATCAGTTTGTCACCTGGCTTAGGCTTTCCAGGGGATGTGGCATCAGGGACAAGGGCTTAGGCCTGAGGAGAGGAAGCATCAGGTTGTTTGACAGGCAGGTTAAGGAGCTGGCCTGCTTCCGAGTCAGCACTGACCCCACCGCGCTACTCCATGTGTGCTCCCGTGGCTTATGCTTAAAATGCAGACATCTGGAAACACTCTGACATGTTCCCGCTGTCCTGTTATCTTCTCCCAAGTGATTTCTTGTATAAATCAGTAGACACTTGGGTTGACACTTTAATGTACTTTCCATACAGCTTTTGTTTCTTTTCTTAATCCGAGAGCCTGACCTCCAAGCCCATGTGATGCCAGGAGTAGAGAGTAGTCTTCCCACTGCCTCATCAGTGATGAGTCCTATGGCAGAAGGGAGGATGCACTTTCTTGCAAGACAGCCTTTTTTTCATTTATTTTTATTAGTTGGAGGCTAATTTCTTTACAATATTGTAGTGGTTTTTGTCATACATTGACATGAATTAGCCATGGATTTACATGTATTCCCCATCCCGATCCCCCCTCCCACCTCCCTCTCAACCCGATCCCTTTGGCTCTTCCCAGTGCACCAGGCCCGAGCACTTGTCTCATGCATCCAACCTGGGCTGGTGATCTGTTTCACCCTAGATAATATACATGTTTCGATGCTGTTCTCTTGAAACATCCCACCCTCGCCTTCTCCCACAGAGTCCAAAAGTTTGTTCTATACATCTGTGTCAGTGCAGTTGGATTTTGTGATAGTTAAACTACTGTTGGCCTTTATTATTCTGTACCATGCTTTACTTGTATTGTTCTAATTGATTCATGGCACATTGGTGAGACAGTTGGAAAGTGTCTTTTTGGTTAAGTGACCATTGGCTATGTGGTCGTGGAGCTGAATTTAATCTAGCCTTTGCTTTCTGAACTCAGTTTAGTTTTTGAACTTTGCCATTGCATTTGATCTGTGGACTTAAGCTCACTGTTTCTAAAGGGAAGTGCTATTCAATCTTTCCAAAATCAGCTTGTCAATAAACTCTGAGTATCCATTTTTAAACTGAGGATTGCTAGTGCTGCCCTGATCTCTTATGAAGAGTTGTTTCTCTATGGCCATTCTATCACGTCCCAGTTGTGGCGGCTGGAAGTCCAAATCAAGGTGTTCACAGGGTTGGTTTCTTTTGATGCCTCTCTTCTTGGCTTGCAGACCACTGTCTTCTCATTGTGTACAAAAATGGCCTTTTCTCTATATGCCTGAATCCTTGGCATCTCTTCTTGTTCTTATCAGGACACCAGTCCTATTGGATCAGGACCCAACTCTAAAGACCTCATTTAACCTTAATTACCTCTCTAAAGGCACAGTCTCCAAATACAGGGAGTTAGGATTTAAACAAATGAATTTGGTGAGGGGACACAAGTCAGTCCATAACAGAGACCCACTGTCTCCTTGGGCTGACTTGACAAAGTCTATCCCAGCCATGTGCTGCACAGTCCTTGTGCTCCAGCAATAATAGTCCATCTGTCTATCTGTTAACTGTGATTACACACACACACACACACACACACACACACACACACTCGCTTCCCAGGTGGCTCTAGTGGTATTAAAAAAAAAAGAAAACAGCTGCCAATGCAGGAGACGTAAGAGATGCTGGTTCAGTCCCTGGTTCAGGAAGATCCCTTGGAGGAGGGCATGGCAACCCACTCCAGTATTCTTGCCTGGAGAATCCATGGACAGAGGAGCCTGGTAGGCTACAGTTCACAGGGTCACAAAGAATTAGACACAACTGAAGCAGCTTAGCACACATGCAGGCATATATACACATATGTATATATTCAGTTAAAAATATTGTTTTTATTTACATGAACTTGATCATTTATATACAATCCAATAAACCAACTTTATACTCATCCATTATAATACTAACCATGAAACACTAGAGATTTTTAGAATGAAGACCAAACTAAGTATAAATGAGGACCAAAATTTTTAACATTTAAAAAATACACAAATAGTATACCTTCCTTGGAAATACTTACAAACAAAGAGGAAAATATCATTTGTAATTCCACCACTCAAAAGAGCCTCAGGAACTTGTCAAAAAGAAGGGCTTTTGGTTGCCCCTGGCCTTGGAGGTGGCTTTTGGAGTAAGGTTAACAAGTGTCCTGGGGAGGGGGTGGCCAGCCAGCCCCTGGGCTCCACGGGCCTCAGAGCCAGTCAGCACTGTGGCTTTTACACAGAAAGTGCCCGATAAATGGCCTCCAGGTTGATGAAAGTCTAGCCAAAAACATTCTGGTTTTCAAATTCTAAATGGCCTTTCTATAAAAAGTTTGCTTTTTTTTTTTTTTAACATTTCACTGAGGGATAAGAAAGCTCAAATTATAAAGATGCTGACTCCAGATTTGCACCTTTCAACTCGTGTGTTCAACTCAGAGGTCACACTCTGGGTAAAGCACTCCAGGGAAAGAGTCTGAGAGAAAGTAAATAAATTAAATCTGACCCATGAGCAGAGTGAATGAAGGCAGTGTGTTGAGCATCCAGTAGGTTAGAGATAACCTGGGATTGGCAAGGAGGGTCCAGGTTTTCCCCTACTTCAAGCAGGAAAATAACCCCCAGCCCACATTGGTTGAGATGCTGGCCAGAGAGAGAAGCACGGCCCAGGTGGTCTCCTCCACCACCCAGAGGGCTGCCCTCCATTACACTGGCCGCTGTTCAGACATAATCAAAGTTCCATGGTTATCCTGTACAACAAACTGACGTCAGGGTGTTTGCCTTTCTTGGTCTATGCAGAAAGCAAAGTTCAGGTTGATTAACAGGCAGATT